TCTATCTATCTATCTATCTATCTATCTATCTATCTATCTATCTATCTGGCAGACCGCAGAGGTGATGCACATGTTTAAGATGACGTCAGCGGCTTTACAGAGAGAGCTCTTTGTCTCCTCCAACAGGTCTGCTTCCTCCAACCTCTTTGAGATGCTGTATGCCAGCAGAGCGATGTTGTTGTTCGTCGCGACCTCCTGGGATGTGCACTGGTGAGCTCGGTTGGAGAGCTTTGTCAACCTCTGGTCATGCTCCCCTGGAGGGATAGGTTGCCGGTCCATCCTGGAAGCTTTTGCCCGAAGCATCTCCGCCAGGCTTGGTTCCGGGGTGGGGGGACTGAGAGAAAAACACAGATCGGTAAAACCCTCCACTCTGGAGATGGAGGCGAATGTGGAGACAGATGGCTTCAGCTTGCCGGGCCCATCTGTGGTCTCGCTGTCCAGCTATGACATCACAGCTGGACAGCGAGGCCAGATGGGATCAGGGCGACGAGCCAGGGCGGAGCCAAACCTTCCCGCCAGATCATCCGATCAGGGCGGAAGGAGGCGAGGGACGGAAATGTCCCTTTGTGTTAGCAGCCTCCTGGATTATGCCGGGCAGCTCTGAGAGGAGGGCACCGACAGCTGGGAGCGGCGTGGTTGCCAATGTGGGATGACCCGAGGTGGCTTAGTATCTTCTCGACCGCTCTTCTTCCGTCACTACGCTCTCCAGGAGGGAAGGGGCAGCGAGGTTGTTTCCAGCATCGCCTTTCTCTGAGGAGTCATTCGATTCACTGCGTGACTCTGTATCAAAAAAAGGCAGTGGCATCGCCCCACGCATAGCATCCCACCATGGAAAAACACTCAGGGGAGCTGCTGCCAACAACGCCTTTTTCGAGGGAATCATCCGATTCACCGTGAGGAAAAAACACGTTAGAAAAGGCGGTGGCGTCGTCCAGCGAGTAGCGGCCCTCCACAGAAAAACACTCAGCGGAACTGATGCTAACATCGCCTTTTTCGAGGGAATCATCCAATTCACCGCGAGGAAAAAACGTTAGAAAAGGCGATGGCGTCGTCCAGCGGGTAGCGGCCCGCCACGTAAAAACACTCCTCGGCACTTACCTTGAACAAGGCTGCTTGTCTCTGCTTCTCCTCGGGAAGGAAGAGCTCACCGGCACAGCAGGAGGTTGGCATCCTTAGCAAAGGTTGTGCCGGTCAAAGCTGGACATCTTTTCCTTCTTCGTTCTTTTGACAGTGCTAGCTAGCTGGCTGAAGAAAAAATAGGAGCCGATTGCCCGGTCTTACTGTAATTTATACAGACCGGGGGTGGGGCCCACACAGCCAGTGGGTGTGGACTAAACCCACTAGCGATACCCTTAAAGGGCCTATGCAGGTATGCAGGTATTGTCCCATGTACCTAAGTGCATGCAGGTCACTTCTGGGCTGTGTGCAATTCATAATTAAGTCTGACTGACGTTGTATGAATGACCATGCAAACAAGTCTGATTCCTGCCAAAAAGTCCATTTCCTCATTAAGACCTGCAGCTTGAACATAGCCTTAGACTTACCTCTCTTTCTGGAATGAAAAGCCCAGTGTTTAACCCACTTTCTTGAATGGCCCCTTTCATTTTCTGTTTCCAAGACATGAACCTCAAGAGCAACATAAATTCCTCTTACTGCTTAAAATATTTAATAGTTTCTTACTATTTTAACAAGATACTGCCATTTCAGATTTTGGTGTTATAATAATGTTACAAATCTGTGAAATCTGACAGCATTGTCTTCATTTAAAAGCAAAACGCACAAAAAAGGTGATCACACTTGGGTTTTGTTAACTAAAGATGAAATTGATTACTTTCTTGTAAATTTTATGAATAATTTTTATGTGTTATTTCTATAAATTAAAATTGACATTTTCAAATCCATTGAAATTATGTAATCATACGGTATGTCCAATTATATGATATTTCTGTGTGCTTTTAAAATTACATGTAAGGAAATTTGAGAATTTCTTGACAAAAGGAAACTTTTTTTTACTACAATGTTTTCTGCATTTAAACAGTATGGTCGAGGAAGATTTGGGAGAACCTGGAGGAGGCGAAAATGAGTCTTTGGAATGCTCAGTATAAAAGGCATAAGAAGGTGGCCCATCCTGAGGCTCGTAAGAAAATGATCCCGGCAGTACTTGATCCCAATTATAAGGTGTTTTGTTCACCAAGGGACCACTATCATCACAGATCAATGGAGGGTGTATATGTCTGCACTGGCTGATAGCGGATATGTTCATTATTCAGTTAATCATAGCAGGTCATTTATAAATGCTAACACAGGTGCTCATACAATTCAATTCAATTCAAGTCAGTTTATTTATATAGCGCCAAATCACAACAAAGTTGTCTCAGGGCACTTTACAGAAACATTCACATACATAAAAGCCAATTAGTAAAGTTCTCTATCTAAGGAATCCAGCAGACTGTTAGGATTACGCGGGGAACCCAGATAGTTTGAGACCCAGAACGAGGCAGACACAGGGGAAATACAAAAGAACAGTGTTTATTATGTACAGTGAATGTTTCACACGCTGGAACTCAGCACTCCTGGAAAGAGGGACAACAGGTTAGTGTTGGTCCAAGGGGAAGACCTGAGAGGTTGTTTGAAGGAGGTTCTTGTCCTTACAGTCCAAACCCGAAGGAGGGGAGCTGGTCCTTCAGTCCGGGGAGAGAGCAGCAGAGGGGAAACCAATGCGGGTCCAAGGGCACGAGGAAGGCTGGCAACTGGAGGCAAAAATGGCACGAGGAATACCTGACAGGCCGAGGGATCCAGATCAGGTCACGAGGAGAATCCAAAAACACGAGGAACCAGGAAACTGGAAAAGAGAACACAGGTGAACAAATTCTTTTCACCTAGACATATCTAGCTCAACAGTACTATACCATGAGAGGTGATATACTCCAGCGATGAGTCACACTGGGCTGCAGCCTTTTGTAGATGGAGAGGCTCATCAGGCTGATGGCCGCCAGGTGTTGGTAATCAGCGGCCATCAGCAAGGCAGGCTGCAGGCAGTGGGACCCTTACAGTAACCCCCGGCAACCTGAGGCGCTTCTCGGGGTGGTCTCTGAAAAACCTGGAGATGAGGCTGGGGTCGAGGATGAAGGACCTGGGGATCCATGACCTCTCCTCAGGACCGTACCCCTCCCAATCGACCAGGTACTGGAAACCCCTACCCCTGCGTCGCACGTCCAAGATGGATCGGACGGTGAACGCAGGGTGGTTGTCGATCAGGCGGGGCGGTGGAGGGAGGTCAGAAGGGGGACACAAAGGACTGAGGGAAACGGGCTTTACCTGGGAGACGTGGAAGGTCGGGTGAATCCTCATGGCCCTGGGTAGTTGGAGGCGGAACGCAGAGGGGTTGACGATGCGGGTAATAGGGAAGGGACCAATGAAGCGGGGGGCCAGTTTACGGGGGGTGTCCCACAGTTTGATGTCCCCGGTGGACAACCAAACCTGCTGGCCGACCTGGTAGGCGGGTGTCTCTGAACGGTGGCGGTCGGCGAACCGTTTAGCCTGGGCTGCGGTCCTAAGGAGGGCCGTCTTGGCCTGGCGCCAGATACGACGACACCGCCGAAAGTGATGCTGAACGGATGGGACCGAGCAGTCGGACTCAGAGCTGGGAAAAAGAGGAGGAAGGTAACCGAGGGAAGCTTCAAAGGGGGACATACCGGTGGTGGCAGAGGAACGGAGAGAGTTGTGGGCGTATGCCACCCAAACCAAGTGTTGGCTCCAGGATGACGGGTTGGACTCGACCAGGCAACGCAGGGTGGACTCCAACTCCTGATTGCAGCGCTCAGCTTGTCCGTTAGCCTGAGGATGGTAGCCAGAGGTAAGGCTAACGGACGCCGCGAGCGACTTGCAAAAGGAGTGCCAGACCTGAGAGATGAACTGCGGGCCTCGGTCGGAGACAATGTCAGAAGGGATCCCATGGAGCCTGAAAACATGGAGGGTGAGAAGGTGAGCGGTTTCAAAGGCAGAGGGGAGCTTAGGGAGGGGGACAAAGTGAGCGGCCTTGGAAAAACGGTCAACAACCGTGAGGATGGTGGTGTTGCCGTCAGATGGGGGGAGGCCAGTCACAAAGTCGAGGGCGATGTGGGACCAAGGGCGACTAGGGGTCGGGAGGGGAAGCAGAGGGCCAGCCAGGTTGTGTACCAGACTTGTTTCTGGCACAGACGGGACAGGCCGAAACAAAGTCCTTGATGTCTCTGGACATGGAGGGCCACCAGAAATGAGTTCTTGTGAGGGCGAGCATGCGGTTGACTCCGGGGTGGCAGGAAAGCTTGTTAGAGTGGAGCCACTGGAGCACTTGGGACCGCACGCTGGAGGGAACAAAGAGGGTACCGGGGGGACCACCACCAGGATCAGGTTCAGAGAGGAGGGCCTGCTGAACGGTAGCGGTGATGGGCCAGGAGAGGGAGCCGACAATACAAGTGGGAGGAACAATATTATTAGAAACTTCAGGCGAGTCACGAGGGACAAACTGCCTGGACAGGGCATCAGGCTTAACGTTCTTAGAGCCTGGGCGAAAAGTCAGGACGAAATTGAAACAATTATAGAAAAGCGCCCAACGGGCCTGACGGGGGGTCAGACGCTTGGCGTTCCTAAGATAGGTCAAGTTCTTATGGTCCGTCCAAATCAAAAAAGGGGTCTCAGTGCCTTCCAACCAGTGCCACCATTCCTCTAATGCGAGCTTGACCGCCAACAGCTCGCGGTTGCCCACGTCGTAATTGCGTTCTGCTTGGGAGAGACGTCGAGAAAAGAAGGCGCAGGGATGAATCTTATTGTCCAAAGGTGATCGCTGGGAAAGGACCGCCCCTACCCCAGTGTCGGAGGCGTCCACCTCCAGAATGAACTGGTGCGTAGGGTCTGGGTGGCAGAGGATGGGCGCGGAGGAAAAGAGAGACTTGAGTTTCTTAAAGGCGGTCTCGGCCTCTGGGGTCCAGTGAAAGGCTCGGGCGGTGGAAGTGAGCTGAGACAGGGGGGCGACACGACTATAATTCTTTATAAATCACCTGTAGAAATTTGCGAAGCCCAGGAAACGTTGTAACTGTTTCCTGGACTCGGGGGTCGGCCAGTCGACTACCGCCCTGGTCTTCTCGGGGTCGGTTCGACAACGTCCGCCCTCAAAAATAAAACCTAAGAATGAGACGGTGGAGGTATTAAACTCACACTTCTCCGCCTTAACGGATAACTGATTCTCCAGCAGCTGCTGAAGAACCGTGCAGACGTGAGCCGTGTGTTGAGAGGGGTCGCGGGAAAAAATAAGGGTGTCATCAAGGTAAACGAAAACAAAATTACCAATAAGGTTGCGCAGGACGTCATTGACGAGCGCCTGAAAAACTGCGGGGGCATTGGTCAACCCAAAAGGCATAACTAAATACTCAAAATGACCCAAAGGAGTGCGAAAAGCTGTTTTCCACTCGTCGCCCTCCTTAATTTGTACGAGGTGGTAAGCATTTCTTAGGTCGAGTTTAGTAAAACAAGAAGCCGACTGTAACTGCTCCTGCAGTGAGTCAATGAGGGGGAGCGGATACTTATTTTTAACAGTTATGTTGTTTAAGCCGCGGTAATCAATACATGGCCTGAGCGTTTTATCCTTTTTAGAAACGAAGAAGAAACCGGCTCCCAAAGGGGAGGTCAAGGGTCTAATAATACCAGAGGCTAGGGATTCATTAATGTAATTGGACATAGACTCCCTTTCGGGACCAGAAAGATTATAAAGTCTACTTGACGGCAAGGGGGCGCCAGGTAATAAGTCAATCGAGCAGTCATAGGGACGGTGAGGAGGAAGAGACAAGGCGCGTTGCTTGCTAAAGACGGCCGCCAGGACGCGGTATTCAGCAGGAACAGAGGTGAGGTCGATCTCCTCTAGAGGAGGTGCGTTCCGAGGGAACTCTTTAATGGCGGAGCGAAGACAGTTACTGAGACACTTGTTGCTCCATTTGTCAACGCAGCCGCGCTCCCAATTAATAACTGGGTTATGGTTTCGGAGCCAGGGGAAACCTAAAATTATTTGGGGCATACGGGAATTAAACACGAAGAAATTGGTCATTTTGTGATGATTTCCTGAGATTATGACATGCAAATCGGTAGTCTTAAGGTTTATATGAGTCAAAGTGTCTCCGGTTAAGCCGGCGACAGAAATCGGAGGAATCTCGCGAGTGGGCAAAGAATATTCTTTAACTAAATCAGCGCTGATCAGGTTTTGTTCAGCACCCGAGTCGATGAGAGCAGAAAACGAAAAGCGATGGTCAGGTGTCTGAATGACCATGGGAAGTAATAGTTTGAATGGGGATGTTAACGCAGAAGTTCCCACCAGTAACTCCCGCTTTACTGGTAGAAGTTCTCGTTTTCCTCGAAACGGGCAGTGGGGCAGAAAATGACCGGGGTTACCACAATAAATGCAGAGACGGGCAGATACTCGCCGCTGTCTCTCTGCAGGAGTCAGCCGTGCGCGCCCCACCTGCATGGGCTCGGGGGAGCGATCCCATGGAGGAAAAGAAGATGATTGGTTGAAAACAGGAAGCATGGAAGACTGGGAGTTGTAGTTCAAGGGGGACTGCTTGGGTGAAGCGGACTCATGGCGAGGGGTCGTGAACCTGGAAGTGGGAGGATTCTGGGAAACGTAGTACAAAGGTGCAGACTTGGGCTCACCTGGAGAAGTCGGAAACCCGGAAGTCGAGGGTCGATGGGAATTGTAGTTTGTCTCTCTCCTCCTTTCCCGGAAACGGTCATCGATGGAGATAGCAAGGTCTATTAACTTGTCGAAAGTCTCGGGCTCGTCTTGTGTGGCCATCTGGTCTTTGAGAATATCAGATAGTGCGTTTAAGAAAATTTCTTGGAGGGCTGGCTCGTCCCATCCTGTTTGGGCAGCAAGGATCCGAAACTCCAGGGCGAACTCCGAGGCGTTACGACGGCCCTGTCGTAAATTCAGCAAATGCTTGGCGGCGTTTGACTTCTGCAGGGGGCGATCAAAATTCCTACGAAACTCACATAGAAATAGTTCATAGGAAGCAGGGGGATTATTATGGCTCAGAAGAAACGAGTGAGCCCACCGGAGAGCGTTACCTTTGAGCTGGCTTACGAAAAAGGTGATCTTGGCCGCGTCCGAGGAGAACTGGGAGGGGGCCCCCTCGAAGGCGAGTCTGCACTGCAGCAAGAAGCCGCCACATTGGTCAGGGTCTCCGGTGAAGAACTCAGAAGGTTTAAATAATATTTGTTGAACAGAAGGAGTGGGACCAGGAGCCACGGGGGCTGGCGGAACGACTGGAGCTGAGGAGGCAGAAGCTCGCAGCTGACATTTAATGGAATAAATCATACCTCCGAGCTCCTGAAGGTTGGACTGGACCGTGGTTTGGTGAGTCAGCACTTGATGAAGAACTTTGTCCATCCCGTCGATCTGTTCCTCCGTGGAACCGGGGGTTGTCTGCTCGCTCTTGGTCTCATTCTGGGTCTTTTTTGGCTGGAGCATTTCTGTTAGGATTACGCGGGGAACCCAGCTAGTTTGAGACCCAGAACGAGGCAGACACAGGGGAAATACAAAAGAACAGTGTTTATTATGTACAGTGAATTTTTCACACGCTGGAACTCAGCACTCCTGGAAAGAGGGACAACAGGTTAGTGTTGGTCCAAGGGGAAGACCTGAGAGGTTGTTTGAAGGAGGTTCTTGTCCTTACAGTCCGAACCCGAAGGAGGGGAGCTGGTCCTTCAGTCCAGGGAGAGAGCAGCAGAGGGGAAACCAACGAGGGTCCAAGGGCACGAGGAAGGCTGGCAACTGGAGGCAAAAATGGCATGAGGAATACCTGACAGGCCGAGGGATCCAGATCAGGTCACGAGGAGAATCCAAAAACACGAGGAACCAGGAAACTGGAAAAGAGAACACAGGTGAACAAATTCTTTTCACCTAGACATATGTAGCTCAACAGTACTATACCATGAGAGGTGATATGCTCCAGCGATGAGTCACACTGGGCTGCAGCCTTTTGTAGATGGAGAGGCTCATCAGGCTGATGGCCGCCAGGTGTTGGTAATCAGTGGCCATCAGCAAAGCAGGCTGCAGGCAGTGGGACCCTTACACAGACAAGTTGAATCTTGGCTTTGTTGCAGTCTCCCATCCTGAGCAAGCACAGTGGCAACAGTGGAAAGGAAAAACTCCCTTTTAAAAGGAAGAAACCTCCAGCAGAACCAGGCTCAGGACAAGCGGCCATCTGCTTTGACCGGCTGGTTGAGAGGACAGGAAGGAGAGACAGACGAACATAGAATGGTAGATCCAGGTATAGGTCCAGGTGTATCTGAAAGACAAAAAAACACATGTTAAGGATAAAAAAAAAATTACAAATACAAAACAGGTTGAGCAGAGTAAGTAAAGACAAGAGTAGAGTGAAAATTGTGGTCAGTTTGTCCTCCAGCAGTCTAAGCCTATAGCAGCATAACTAAGGGACAGCTCAGGAAACCCAAGCTGACCCTAACTATAGGATTTATCAAAAAGGAAAGTCTTAAGCCTAGTTTTAAAACTGGATAATGTGTCAGCCTCACGGACAGAGATTGGAAGTTGGTTCCACAAGAGAGGAGCCTGATAACTGAAAGATCTGCCTCCCATTCTGTTTTTGTAAATTCTAGGAACCACAAGTAAACCTGCAGTCTGAGAGGGAAGTGCTCTGTTTGGAAAATATGGAACAATAAGATCTGTAATATAAGGTGGAGCCAGGTAGGGTGGAGGGGGTCCACGACCGGTTGCAGCGTTTTTTATTTGTGGAAGAACAGGCTACCTGGATTATTTAGTATGCAGCATGACATTCTAAAAATAATATTTGTGATGTCTTCTTTTTATTATTATTTTTATTGTCAAGTTTTCAGTTTCAGTGAAACTAGCTCAGGTGGTTTGGGCCTGTTGGAGCGGGAGGGAACCAGATTTCCTGGAGAAAACCCTCGCAAGCATGGGAAAGAATCATGGGCGTCAGAAGCATTTGTAATGTGGGGGGGACACTATAGTGTGTATGTGTGTGTGCATGCGCGCCAGTGTGCAAAAAATTG